TCTGGCCAACTCTGTGGGGATCACTCAAAATGAAAAATCCGCACTGCAAGCTGATTCGGTCATCATATCAACGATCCGACATCGCAGCTGAGTCGCAGCATATCGCCCTCTCCCTCCGGACAAAGCAGCCACCAAAAACCGTCAACGGACGTCCAATGACCCACTGGTGAAAGGGGATACGAGTGCCATGACCCACAGCCTTATGGATCATTTGTCTTACACACCTGCAGGTTCGCCTTGGCTTTGGCCTTGGCTTGGGCCTTGCCTTTGGCTTTGGCTTTGCCTTTGGCCTTGGACTGTCATGTTCATCTCAGGATACTTGAACAGAACTTACTCGAGATGTTGGGACGTTTGTCCCCTTTTGGACGTTAGTCTCGCCTCAGAAAATTAGATCCCTCAAAAAAAAGGAGGACATGTGCCCTTAGCTAAACAGGACAGCACTGACTGACCGCTCCTGGTTCCCATCCAGCACGCTCACAGCAGTTTGCTGCGTGCTGCTTCACCAGCTAGTCTGTGAACGGTACAACAGCATGAGTAGGGAGGCCCTGCAACTTGGGTCCACCTAGTTGCAAATGTTGCAAAGACCTCGCCCAACAGCGGTTGAAATCCATCAATAAAGCGCCCTGAACAAGCCGGCCTGCACTTGTTTGAACATGGTGTAGATGTCAATCTGTGTAGGGTAGAAAACAGATTCTGGGAGGACAGCTACTCAAGCGTTGCAAACCAACCCAGCGTTGGCCCATCTGTTTCAACACTTTATAACCTGTCTATAGTGGCTGGTTGATAAGAAAAACTCAGTAAAACCCAAAAGCACGGTGGGGTGGGGGCGACTTTTTGCTCATCTTTCTGGTCATGTGTCACGGGGCGAGGCTATATAAGTCCACCATCTCCAAAAGTGATTAGAACAAATTAGACACCTGTATGCAGAAAAGCTCCCGAAAATCCCAAAGCGACACCTGTATACAGAAAAGCTCCCAGAATCCCAAAGCAGGTTGAATCAATGTGTGGGAATGAGACACACACTTGTGGCCCTTGAGCTTTTCCTGCTCAGCCCTCATCGGTCACCAAGCAGCTTTCGCGGCCGCTGATGGAGCTGATGCCTCTCACGAGAGAGGTCGACAGCTGCGGCAAAATGCATGTTGGCTAGCCTGTTGCTCTACAGTGTTTTCTTTACATCACTACATGGTTCATGTTCACTCCTGCAATCTTAGTACTTAGTTGACTGTTGATTGAGGAGCCTATGCAAAGCCTCTTCCATCTGCTTTCTCGGTTGTCACCCCTCGCCCCGCACCAAGAGTGTCAAAGCGATGTCAAACCTTTCTTCATCCAGATTGCACAAGACGGTGGCTTTGACCCATCCTCAACACACGAAGAAGGGTGGACTAGTACAAAAGCTGCTTTTTGAGCTATTTACAGTAGACTCATTCCATGGATTGTTGAGTCTAGTCAGTCTAGTCGGTAGGATCCAAAGGTCGCGTTTACCACCGTTTACCTTTGTCCACTGAGTCCACTGGTTAAAGGAGGTAAGGACAATGGCAAACTAATCGTTCTCGGGTTTGCTTGAAGAATCTTAACATAAAACAACATCTTCGACCCAATGCAAGATTAACCCCGCAGCCTATAGAGGCCAAAGACATCATTTTTATGAATTTGAGGTATACAGAAATATTACTGTACTAATGAGGTCAAGGACCAGCTTTTACTGGGTTTCTGAACCTGCAGGGGCAGGCAAAATCGCACACGATCAGCAAAAACTATTGCCGCCTCTGGAATTTCTTCGGCTTTCATGGAGCCTGCCGACTCGTTGGTCCAAAGAACGACAAACACGATGTTTTGGTCGCCCGTTGGATTCATAGGCCTCTTCCCAATCCTGAGTTCCTTCATTAAACGTCAACATCTCTCATATGGTCTTTGGGGAATATGGGTTCCTATTCACAGGGTGGTGTTTTCCATGGTGCGCAAACGCAGCGGAATCGAGGATTTTTGCGTTGATTGGCTTACTGTATTGGACATGATACCCACAAAACCAGTCCAAGACTCCTGCATGAAGAAAAAAATCCTGTCCTGCTGAATCAGGAAAACCAACGACACAAAACAAGCCCTTGCTTGTTCGCACCAAACAAAACCTGTTCAAATGAAGTTGGAACAAACTGGCGTCACTCTTTGGTCCTTATCAGAGTCCCAGTCCCATGTCTTTTCTAATGATCGAATTTCAGTTCTAAGTTCTGACGAGCTGTTTCAGTCATGGCCGACGGTGAAGACTGGCCGATTGGTCTCACGTCGTAAAGACTTGAAGAAACCCCACCTTTGCGTGTGATCCGCCGCCGTTTGGTCTCCGGCTCCGCTGGCTCCTGCTGCGCAGTCGACAGGTGTAGGGACAAAGGCGTGACCCCTCTGCAGTCGTACCTTCCATATACCTGGACCCCCCGAAGTACCCTAGAAAATGGGACATCGTAAAGTGTTAAGGCACTCTTGGGACCACCCTGAAGTTTGCTCTTGCGAGCTCTTTCTCAAGTGTGTGTGTTCTTTTTGGGCCCGTCTCCTCATGTTGGTAGACCTGACTGTCATGGTAAACGCCTCCCGACTAAAGGGCCCAACTTCTAGAACTGATGACGTCCAGTGATGACCACTGACGACCGTTTGCCCGCTGGTGAACCAGCTAGTCATGCCCAGCCCCGATAGACACGTCTTTACCTGATCATAGAAGTAGTCTCAGTCTCAAAACCTCTCATGACATCTCTTTTTAAAGCCACCATCCGTGCCTTGCTGGCAAGTGCATTACCAGCTTTTGCCTCTTCCTTCTCGAAAAAGAAAGAATTGTTCCATCATAATCGGGTAAAGCAGCCACTTCGAGTAAATGGTCGGAACTCCCGAAACTCACCGCCCGGTGCTTCGATCCCATCGGTCAATGCGGATCCCATCGCCGGAACCGTGTCACGGAACGCAAACAGCGCGAGTCGTGCAGCGAGTCGTGCTAACTCATCGCCGAACAGCGTTCCTCTGCTCACCGGACCCGACCGCCTTCTGCTTCTGTTTGCTCTGTTTGTGTTTTGCAAGATTGCCAGCTTCTGCTTCAGCCACACCATCCTCTTTCTTGTCCTGGACACAAGAACGCATGCACAAGGCACAAGTGGAACTGCTGACTCTCTCTGGATTCCAAACTGCCTAAAATCAGATGATGGCTCTCTGACCTCTTTGGCAAACACACTTGCAGCCTCAAGCTCTGGCGGATTCATCACACACGGCCTACAGTTTGATGTCCCAAGTCCCACGGCTTTGAAGAAAGCGCCTCTTGGCTGAGCGCCTTGACATTTGTCTCGCTCTCAGCTTCCACAGCAGCATTTCTCTTCTCCTCCTTCTCAACAGTCAATTGCTACTGTGAAACTATCATTGCTTAAGCAACAGCCCAAGCTCCAAATACTGATCACTTGCAGATCTATTTCAAGAATGCCAAGCCCAAAGAAACGTTGAAGCTATACTGCAAAACATGCCAACCATGCCTCCTTGACAAGCTTGTCCGCTTCTGCTTCAGCCGCATGATGCTCCTTGTTGTCCTCCTTCTTGTCCTGCTTGCATATTAAACAAACACATATGTTCTGCAGTTTCTAAACACAAACAACAGCATGGATCAATGGCCAAGCCCGAGGAATGATTTGATTAGTCTATGCCTGGAGTCTCAAAGTACAATTGAAGATGGGTACAAGTAACATCAAGTATACCTGTTTGTTTGTTTTTTTTTTTTTTTAAATAGGGCCATGTCCCATTTTCTAGGGTACTTGAAGTCGGGTCCAGGTAGATGCACCGTATTTCTATGTGTTCATATACAAATCGAACCCTGTCACTGCCACACCTGCAAAGGTCGCTCAAACAGCTTGTGTCAAACAATCCAGCAAGTTGTCTACTATTTGTTCGAACATATTTCTCTAGTATACATAGTGTTTGTTATATATATACATATATACATACTTAATAGGTGTGCTTGCTCTGTGACCAGTGCAAAATGTCTTGCTGCCTGCCGGCCCTTCAAACTTTTGACCATGTATCCAAGGTACAAAAGAAAACCATATCGTAGGTTAAAATGTTACAGCCCAAAACAAGGCAATATGGAGTTCCAAGTCGATTGACATATTACCCTCTATATATATATATATATCTAGCTTAAAACCTAAACAAGTGGCACCATTGCCATAGTCTTTTGCTGCTCAAGTCTTGGGGAACCACAGCACCTCCGATCAAAAAAACAGAACACACACCACAAGCATCCACAAGCCGTCTACACAGTTCTGGGTTGGACAAGACATCTGACGTTGGTTTTAATACCACCTGGAATCTCCCCTTGCAGCCTTTCCGAATCCCTACATCTCGCACAAAGCAGGCAACCTGCGCAATTCCTTAGTTCGGCTCACAAGCCACGGCAGCCCTGGCCTCCTTGATTTCTTCCAGGATCTCCTGAGCATGGAAACGAACGTCTTGAGATGAACGTCTCTGAGTCAAGCTTGGACCTCTGTGTTGACCGCACCAACATGGGTGTGTGTGTGTTGAAACAGGGAAAACATGGGAAACAAAAAGACGATATCAGGAAGAGGGACAAGTTCGCAAACACCCAGTGATCGCAGGGTCTCCATCTTCCAAGACACACCTGCATCAGCATCTGCCTTTGGGTGCTGTAGAATAGGGAGACCAGCGACCACCGGGTCGAGAGTTCATGTCTTTTTTCCATTCCAGATCTCAACGGTGGAGAGGAACCCACCCACCTGGTGCATTGGTCGAAATCTCCCGAACCAAGCGAGATCACAACGACCTGGACCCGACTTCAAGTTCACGAGAAAATGGGGCATGACCCTATTAAAATAAAAAATGAAAAACACACAGGTATACTTGATGTTACTTGTACCCATTTTCTGAGGTAGTTGTCTCAACTCGGACTTCATAGATCGGCGCATCTGACACCCACCTACCCACTCCCATTGTTGCTCTGGCATCTGCACCGAACCATGAGAGCCTGGCTGCGAGGAAGGAAGCCGCCGTTTTCCGCCGCACGTACAAGGACGAGAAGAACGAGAAGACGGGACTTGTGCCCGAGAAGCAAAAAGAATTGCATGCATCTATCAACATTGAAGTCCTTAAGATCTGCCGAAAAGGGCCGATTGGAATCCCCTGTTCTTTTCAGAGGTCTGCCCGCAAGCTGGTCAGCAGGTCAAAGACACAGCCATTTCTGCCAGACGTGTGGAGGACATCCCGCGCGCTCATCCCACACGGTGCACCATGAGATCCCCTGCTTGGTCTGGATCATCGGAAGCTACCTGAGAAGCTGAGTTCACCGAGCCTGCAGGCAAGATGAAGAGTTTCCAGTCGTCATCTCCATACACTTGCCCACTTGGATAGCTCAAGAAGTGTGTCCGTGGGAACCTGCGCCGAATCTCGTTCTCTTTGGCCAAAGCGTCCTGTGGATTCTGCTTCTCCAAGAACTCATGCACCGCGTCGCTCAACAAGCCAGTGCCGAACTCCACCGGGTCTTGGACCTTCCAATGGAACCTCTCCTGGAGCATCTCCAAACAGCGCTGCAGCAGCGGTGACTGGGGTGCCGCGGCCAAGAAGTACTTGGCAAACTGCTCCGGCCGAGCGAAGAAGACCTCCAGGCGCTGCTCCTCGGACCAACGGTGGCCGTACTCATAGCCCACCAGCATGCTGACGTCTTGGGGCACCTGGTACTCTGCGATGGGTGCCACACAAGTCACATCAAGGTCCGCGTAGTAGCCGCCCTCGGTGTAGAGCACCAAATACCGGAAGAAGTCCGCGCGCTCAGTCGGTTGTAAGGAGTTCCAGATGGAGGGCATCCAATTGAAGTCATGCGACTTCTCTTTCACCAGCACCTCAATCTCCGTGTCGTTCCAGAGTTTGTGCTCGCACTGCGGGTTCATCTGAATCCAGGTGTGCATATAGCTACGAAGTTCAGGCGGTGGAGTGTGAGACTTCCACGTCTGGTGGATCTTGCATGGGATCTTTGTAGGCCCCACATGCTGGACCCGTGATCTTGTCGCCAATAGAGAGCAGTCCTCGGCAAGGGCCAGGACCGGCAGCACAGGGACGAGGAGAGATGACCAGGGAGCCGTGTTCCACCGCATGAGGGAAGAATTTCAGGACATGGAGGAGGTTTCAGTGCTTGAGCCAGAAAGGGTCCTCTCTTTGGAACATCCAGAGGTTCCTCCAGAAATCCACAGGGGCCCCAAATACCATCGATCGGATGTTCGGAACTCTCTCTCTCTCTCTCTCAAGAAGCGCCCCAGAACCCCAGAACCCCAGTCCACCGAATCGGTCTTTCTGATGCCGGGTCGGGCCGGTCGGGGTTTCTGTGGCTTGGAATCGCTTCACCGCTGAACGCAAGGAGAAGAACACTCTTAGTGATGGCAAAGCGGCGAAAGGCAAAGAGATGCACAGTTTTAACGATTTTGATGTATAAAGACTGCAGGTGCCATGACAACCCTAACCGTGCCAAAGCTGGCATTTTGGTCTGGCCTAACGAACTAACACCTGTTCGCGATGAATCATCAGTTTCTTCCACCAGAAAAATCAGCGAAAGGCAAACAATCCAAGTCTGCTGCACTCTGGTGGTGGGTCAAATGTGTTTTGACCCACTTGGGCACTTCGTGGGCTGGGCCGATCTGCATGTTGCAATGTGTTGAAGTCCTGCCTGTGCTCTCTTTGGTCAACATATCCTGCTTCTATGGCAAATAGACAACCATGCCCTACCCGAGCTTGAGAGGCACAATATATCAATCATCCTACATGATAGTACAGATAGTACATGTACAGGTGCACTCCTTCCTCTCCAGCAAGAATTCCAAAAAACACAGGCCCTCTGTTGCCTCCAACGGACATATATGTCATATATTGCACATTGTTGCACAATATGTTAGAAAGCAACCATATCAAGGATCATGTCTGTCATGTTGATAACACCTGAGCTCGACAATCAAACAATTACACACTGGTGTAGGATATATATATATATATATATTCTGCCACTACAAGTGACCAAATCGATGGCTTCGTGACCAATTTCGTCCGTACCCCACAACCCCACAAGGTCCTGGTCGTTGGGCTCCCGGAGACCTGCCTGGAAAAGCCACACCGAAGAAAACAACAACACCGACCTGGGATATCCAATAAGAAGAAAACTCGGACCAGGTAATCTGCTCTATGTGGCACAGATACCAGTTTCAGAATTACAAGCAACAACCTAGTCAAACTTATGTGCAAAAAGTGCAATGCTGTAACGAAGATTGTGTTTGAAACCTGAAGCCCGCCTTTCTCAGCCTCCCTTTAGTGAACATGAACTCTATATTTGTCCGCAGGGCACAAGAGAATGGGAATCAATACACTCAATACATGTTGATTGAGCACACGCAAACACCAGCAACACCTAGCTACCGTGGGCTAGTCAACTGAGAACGCCATCTCCAATGACAAAAAGGACCCATGGCTGATTCCCCAAACGAGGTCTGGACCGGAGCCTTTTTTCCATTGTGTTGTCCAAGTCTTTGGCCAATGGCCTACAATGCCATGCTGAGCTGGGCCATGCGTGTTCAGTTCTAGTGATTTCCTAGTCTGCATGTTCTCGAAACGTGGAATCCACGTGGGGACGGGTCAAAACCTGGAGCCCCAATACCATGTAGCTTGACATAGCTTGACCGGCTCCTGCTTTTGACCCACAGCCACGTGGGTTCCGTTGTGCCAAGCACTGAAACGCCCCCCCGGTCGGCCCCCGCCTGCCCGATGTCTTGGGCGTTTCCCAGCAGTTCCTGCGTGATGGGGGTATGTGGAGTTGGTGAACAAAGAGAGTAAGGAGATCCATCGAAATCAAAACTCCGGGTTCAATTTCCAAGTGGCAAAAGTCCGCCCAAGGAAGTTTTGCCAAACATCTTCTGTGGGATTTTCACACAATGGCTGAACGGGGTATAGTATGTATACACATATATATATGGCACAATGGTCATTACATGTATATTCAACCTGACGAATGAGTCCAAATTGAACATCATGGTTTAGTCCCAACAACTGAAGAGGCATAAAATCGACTCACAAGTCTACTAGATCCTTGCAGATTGAAAACGTACAACGTGTGGACCAAAACCACCAGCTAGCATATGCTGCGTATATATACGCAGCACCGATCTCAACGGGTGTCACCGGATTCGTGCGACAAACTCGGCTGGGAGATTGGGATGCTGGGAGACTGGTGTTGCGAGCAAGAGTCTGCAGTGCTTTCAAGCGGGCAAAGTCCCTAGAACTAAGGACACACGGTGACACATGCTGCAGTTTGAAAGGGCAAGTTCATCATCTCCTCCCATCCCATCCAGTCTACCTCGCCTCTAATGCACGATCCAAATGGCCCTGCCGCCGCAGGGCCGCCGCAGCAGCGGCCCTCGCGAAGCCCATGGCCTCGTAGGTTTTCACGGCCGAACGGCTGAAATCATGAATCCAGCGGATGGGATAGTGGGATCCAGTGGTGATGCATACAAAATATCATATTATACATTTTACATATATTATGTATAAATTATAAATATATATTATTATGTTTATATATCGTATATCTATACTATACGTGGAGTCTGTCTGGAAGAAACAGCAAAGATCCCAAACTCTTGGATGATTCTGGATGACAACGGGTAAGTTCTAGGATGACACATTGTAGGGTTGAATGGCAAAATACAGGATCCATCTGAGGTGTTGTTTTGATAAATCTGCCTGGTATCAAAGTTCAAGAAAGCTGTTTGGGTGTCTTGAGAAAGGAAGACCTCCAACTAATGGGTTTCAGTCAGTCATGTTTTCCTTTGCCCAGTCTTCAAGGGTTCCCCCAGTAAGACTGCACACCAACCTCAAAGACAGGATGTGCCAGCGAGCCAGATCTGGATGTGGCATGTAAGCAAAGCATCCGAACACTGTAACGGGACTCTTGATTGGTTGCATAAGTTAAACAAAAGCACCGTCAAGGTCTGTATAGGATCCTTTTGACCAACTATAGAGAAAATCAGGAAAAGAGTAGTTGACATGTCAAACAAACATATGCATCAATATATACAATATATATATATATATAGTATCTGTGTGCTTCAAATGTTTTGGAACAATAGCCAGCAAAATGCGTGAGTGGGCAAGCCAAATGTTCGCGGCTCACATGAGCAGGAATCGCTCTAAAGAAGACTATGGACTCCTCATAACTCCTCCAACATGCTCTAGTGGCAAAGTAAGTTAAAATAGGATTGTTCCACCAAGAAATGTTTCTGGTCAGATCCAGGCACCTTTTACAGCCATCACCCACCAAATCGGGCATGCCTCCAACTTCTGCAAAGGCGTCTGCTCCTGCCACGATTACCAACAGGGTCAAAGTGGGCCTCTCCCACATCTTTATGAATTTGCAACACAGTGGTTTCAGAGTACAGTACAAGGGCCCCAGAATAGATTTAAAAGTGATCTGATCACCTCCATCACACAGACCTCAAAAACCCTTTCTATCTATCCGAGGACTACGACTTCGGTATTAATTTTGCACAAGCAACCGGTGGGAATTGTGCCCATCTAATCACAGCTGGGTTTGTCTTTTTTTCCATGGAACTTCTGGTTACATCGAATGGCCGGACGTGCTCGGTCCGTGCGTCGCTCGGTCCGTGCTGACGTGCGTCCAGTGTCACATCCAGTGTCACGTCGAGTCAAGGCTGGATTCATCAATTGAACTCGTACATGTTATAGCAACAAATCACACACAAAAAGAAAACACAACAAACACAACCGTACCAAAGTTAATCAGATTCACATTGTTTTATTGTGTGGTTCTGTTTCAGGTCTCTTGTGAATGATGCATTCAGGCTTCCAAACAAAATCAAAGAGGTAACGTTCTCAATATTTCTCAATCACCATCGGTGTCGCTTGTCACACCAGCAACATCCAAGAACACAAAACACGTCGCTGCTCACAAGTAGGTGGGCTCGCTCGGATTGCGGAGTACGCATCTGTATGAAGCTCAATCAAAACGCGTAAGAATCGTGTACATAGGTGTTCAATTGGATTCTGACCCAAACTGAATCCGGGAATGCGGCCCTTCCAAATTCTGACATCCCGATTCGCTAGTCCTGAGGGCTGCTGAGTAGCTCGGCGATGGCATCCTCAGCAGATCCTGGCCCAAGCATTAAGTGGGAATCTCGCATGGGGAGAATTCACTTCTCCAGGCCTTCCATGGTCTTTTCATCCTCACATGTCTGGAAATTCCATCGAACTCTCATTCCAACGAAAGGCGAAGGAACATATGTCCAGAAGGCCCTCATGGTCAGACCTGTCCCAGTCGCCGGGATCCGCCGAAAAAACCGCCTCCATGGCTCTGGAGCGCCGCGAGGGATTTTCGACGGCTGAATCCCATGTCCACCAGCTTCTGCAAAGGCTTTTCCTGGAAGGAGGAAACTGCAAAGGAGGCAACCTGGAATTCTGAAAGATCCAATGTTCACACATGTTGAGATTCATTTACCCTGGTGATCTATTTCTTATATATATATATATAGAGCCGCTCTTGATGCCCGTTGATTGCCATTGTGATTGCCTTTTTCGATTGTTGCAGCAAACTTGGAAATCTTATCCATTCTGAGAAAACACTCTGGCATCAAAAAGCACTCTGGTCACAGGTGATCAATCACTTTCCAATCAGCATCCCAGTTCCCTCCCAACTGCGACGCTCAGGCGGGACCTCTACACAACTCTGCGACGTGTGGGGTACGACATCAGGATTCCCGCAGAATAGATCAGGTGGACCACAAGGGATTTCCCAAGTACAAGTAGTTGATGGCATACAAGTCTTTGAACAATTATGCCTCCAAGCATGCCTACTGCCTCAAAATCAAGGCATCTGGATAACACTCCACATCGCTCCACGAATCCATGTCGCGCAGGGAGCTGTTCGTCTTGTTCGTCTGTCTGACTCGTGCTTCAAAGTGGGCCCCGGGTGCACATCCAACCTCTGTTTGCTTCCGAAGATTGACCACCACCCAGTTGATTGTGGGATCTCTGATAGAGCCAGCTTCTGGCTGTTGAGGCTTGACAATTCCAGCCTCCGAGTGCACAGGCGGAGGCCCCTGGCGAGGCGACTTGGCAGTTCGATTGGTCATTGAAAGGTTCAGAGCAAGAGTTCAAAAGATTTCAAAAGCAGGTGCACACAGTGTATAGATGTTATAACTTAGTTTGACAATTTTAGGCAGGCTCTCCCGGACCTACCCATACCGAACTCAAGATGGTTTGACGAGCTCTCAACAACGTTGGACTTTATGAACGCTGCAAAAGACAAACACCCAACTTCTCCACACAGTGGGACAAGGAAGGCCGCATTTCTTCTGACCATACGAAGATTGCACTGCAGGCGACAGCAGGACCCAAATGCTGCAGGTGTGTGATACTATGTCCATGGTTGGGCATGTGGCTTCTCTGGCGCAAATTTCGGACATGAACTGCCTCTTTACAGTACGTGATCAACACATATTCCAAGTATCCTTGTGCCGCTGCACTGCACCGCTGGACGTCCGAGACACCGGCATGTAGAAAAAGGTGTGTCCCAAATGTCACTCTCTCAAGGCCACCGGCCGATTTTTTTACAGTACGCCAGTACGCAGAGGTTCAAGTTCACTCAATCACTCAATTAAGTTCACTCGAACAGTACCACTCCGGAGCCGGAACCCGTGAGCTCGGGTCTCCCGCCTGTGAACTGCTTGAGCTCGAAGCATCCTCAACCTGTCAGGTCCATCAACACACCAAATTGGGCGTGTGTAACGATCTGACTATCTCTCTCTCTCTATATATATATATATACACATACCAGGA